TACGTCTTCAAGCCATCCCTCTCACGCCTCCAACCATCCCTCTCACGTCTTCAAACATCTCTCTCAGCCGTCAAACAATCGCTTTCACGTCTTTTAAGCACCCAACTCACGTCTTCCACCATCCCTCTTATTCTCACGTCTTCAAACCATCTCTCTCACGTCTTCAAACCATCACCCTCACGTCTTCAAACGATAACTCCTACGTCATCAAACCATCTCACACACGTCTTCAAACCATACCTCTCACGTCTTCAAACCATTACTCTCACCTCTTCAAACCATCATTTTCCCGTCTTCAGACAATCCCTCTCACATCTTCAAACCATCCCTCTCACGTCTTCAAACCATCCCTCTCACGTCTTCAAACCATCCCTCTCACATCTTCAAACCATCTCTCTCACGTCTTTTAACCATGCCTCTCACATCTTCAAACCATCCCTCTCACGTCTTCAAACCATCCCTCTCACGTCTTGAAACCATTACTCTCACGTCTTCAAACCATCATTTTCCCGTCTTCAGACAATCCCTCTCACATCTTCAAACCATCCCTCTCACGTCTTCAAACCATCCCTCTCACGTCTTCAAACCATCCCTCTCACATCTTCAAACCATCCCTCTCACGTCTTCAAACCATCCCTCTCACATCTTCAAACCATCCCTCTCACGTCTTCAAACCATGCCTCTCACATCTTCAAACCATCCCTCTCACGTCTTCAAACCATCCCTCTCACGTCTTCAAACCATCATTCTCACGTATTCAAACCATCCCTCTCACGTCTTCAAACCATCCCTCTCACGTCTTCAAACCATCCCTCTCACGTTTTCAAACCATCCCTCTCACGTCTTCAAACCATCCCTCTCACGTCTTCAAACCATCCCTCTCACGTCTTCAAACCATCCCTCTCACGTCTTCAAACCATCCCTCTCACGTTTTCAAACCATCCCTCTCACGTCTTCAAACCATCCCTCTCACGTCTTCAAACCATCCCTCTCACGTCTTCAAACCATCCCTCTCACGTCTTCAAACCACCAGTCTCACCTGTTCAAACTATCGCTCTCACACCTCCAACCATCCCTCTCACGTCTTCAAACATCTCTCTCTTAGCCGTCAAACAATCGCTTTCACGTCTTTAAAGCGCCGAAATCACGTCTTCCACCATCCCTCTTATTCTCACGTCTTCAAACCATCCCTCTCACGTCTTCAAACCATCCCTCTCACATCTTCAAACCATCCCTCTCACGTCTTCAAACCATGCCTCTCACATCTTCAAACCATCCCTCTCACGTCTTCAAACCATCCCTCTCACGTCTTCAAACCATCATTCTCACGTATTCAAACCATCCCTCTCACGTCTTCAAACCATCCCTCTCACGTCTTCAAACCATCCCTCTCACGTTTTCAAACCATCCCTCTCACGTCTTCAAACCATCCCTCTCACGTCTTCAAACCATCCCTCTCACGTCTTCAAACCATCCCTCTCACGTCTTCAAACCATCCCTCTCACGTTTTCAAACCATCCCTCTCACGTCTTCAAACCATCCCTCTCACGTCTTCAAACCATCCCTCTCACGTCTTCAAACCATCCCTCTCACGTCTTCAAACCACCAGTCTCACCTGTTCAAACTATCGCTCTCACACCTCCAACCATCCCTCTCACGTCTTCAAACATCTCTCTCTTAGCCGTCAAACAATCGCTTTCACGTCTTTAAAGCGCCGAAATCACGTCTTCCACCATCCCTCTTATTCTCACGTCTTCAAACCTTCCCTCTCACGTCTTCAAACCATCCCTCTCACGTCTTCAAACTATCCCTCTTACGTATTCAAACCATCCCTCACACGTCTTCAAACCATCCCTCTCACGTCTTCAAACCATGCCTCTCACGTCTTCAAACCATCACTCTCACGTCTTCAAACCATCCCTCTCACGTCTTCAAACCATCCCTCTCACGTCTTCAAACAATCCCTCTCACGTTTTCAAACCATGCCTCTTACGTCTTCAAACCATCCATCTCACGTCTTCAAACCATCCCTCTCACGTCTTCAAACCATCCCTCTCACGCCTTCAAACCACCAGTCTCACGTCTTCAAACCATCACTCTCACACCTCAAACAATCCCTCTCACGTCTTTAAACATCTCTCTCAGCCGTCAAACAATCGCTTTCATATCTTTAAAGGATCCATCTCACGTCTTCCACCATCCCTCTTATTCTCACGTCTTGAAATCATCTCTCACACGTCTTCAAACCATCACCCTCGCGTCTTCAAAACGATAACTCCCACGTCATCAAACCACCAGCCTTACGTCTTCAAACCATCCCACTCACGTCTTCAAACCATCCCTCTCACGTCTTCAAACCATCCCTCTCACGTCTTCAAACCATCCCTCTCACGTCTTCAAACCATCCCTCTCACGTCTTTAAACCATCCCTCTCACGTATTCAAACCACTAGTCTCACGTCTTCAAACCATCCCTCTCACGCCTTCAACCATCCCTCTCACGTCTTCAAACATCTCTCTCTTAGCCGTCAAACAATCGCTTTCACGTATTTAAAGCACCCAACTCACGTCTTCCACCATCCCTCTTATTCTCACGTCTTCAAACCATCTCTCTCACGTCTTCAAACCATTACTCTCACGTCTTCAATCCATCATGTTCACGTCTTCAGACAATCCCTCTCACGTCTTCAAACCATCCCTCTCACGTCTTCAAACCATCCCTCTCACGTCTTCAAACCATCCCTCTCACGTCTTGAAACCATGCCTCTCACATCTTCAAACCATCCCTCTCACGTCTTCAAACCATCATTCTCACGTCTTCAGACAATCCCTCTCACGTCTTCAAACCATCTCTCTCACGTCTTCAAACCATCCCTCTCACGTCTTCAAACCATCCCTCTCACGTCTTCAAACCATCCCTCTCACGTCTTCAAACCATCCCTCTCACGTCTTCAAACCATCCCTCTCACGTCTTCAAACCATGCCTCTCACATCTTCAAACCATCCCACTCACGTCTTCAAACCATCCCTCTCACGTCTTCAAACCATCCCTCTCACGTCTTCAAACCATCCCTCTCACGTCTTCAAACCATCCCTCTCACGTCTTCAAACCATCCCTCTCACGTCTTCAAACCATCCCTCTCACGTCTTCAAACCATCCTTCTCACGTCTTCAGACCATCCCTCTCACGTCCTTAGACCACCCCTTTCACGTCTTCAAACCATATCTCTTATGTCTTCAAACCACCATTCTCACTTCTACAAACCATCACTCTCACGTCTTCAAACCATCCTTCTCACGTCTTCAGACCATCCCTCTCACGTCCTTAGACCACCCCTTTCACGTCTTCAAACCATCACTCACACGTCTTCAAACCACCATTCTCACTTCTACAAACCATCACTCTCACGTCTTCAAACCATCACTCTCGCTTCTTTCAACCATCACTCTCACGCCTTCAAACCACCACGCTCCCGTCTACAAACCACCACTCCCTCTACCCTCCAATCCCCTTCACGTCCACCACTATCCCCCTACACATTTCAAACATACCTCCCTAAACTTCTATCCACCTTACATCCTCCACCCACCCTCACATCTCCCGTCCCTGTGACATCTTCCACCCCCCTCACATCTCGCGTCCCTGTGACATCCTCCACCCACCCTCACACCCTCCCGTCCCTGAGACATCCTCCACCCACCCTCACATCTCCCGCCCCTGTGACAATCTCTACACACCCTCACATCTCGCGTCCCTGTGACAACCTCCACCCACCCTCACACCTCCCGTCCCTGAGACATCCTCCACCCACCCTCACATCTCCCGCCCCTGTGACAATCTCTACACACCCTCACATCTCGCGTCCCTGTGACAACCTCCACCCTCACACCTCCCGTCCCTGAGACATCCTCCACCCACCCACACATCTCGCATACCTGTGACAATCTCCACCCACCCTCACATCTCTCGTCCCTGTGACAATCTCCACCCACCCTCACATCTCTCGTCCCTGAGACAATCTCCACCCACCCTCACACCTCCCGTCCCTGAGACATCCTCCACCCACCCACACATCTCGCATACCTGTGACAATCTCCACCCACCCTCACATCTCTCGTCCCTGTGACAATCTCCACCCACCCTCACACCTCCCGTCCCTGAGACATCCTCCACCCACCCACACATCTCGCATACCTGTGACAATCTCCACCCACCCTCACATCTCCCGTCCCTGTGACAATCTCCACCCACCCTCACATCTCTCGTCCCTGTGACAATCTCCACACACCCTCACATCCCCCGTCCCTGTGACAACCTCCACCCACCCTCACATCTCCCGTCCCTGTGACATCCTCCACCCACCCTCACATCTCCCGTCCCTGTGACATCCTTACCCACCCTCACATCTCCCGTCCCTGTGACATCCTCCACCCACCCTCACATCTCCCGTACCTGTGACAATCTCCACCCACCCTCACATCTCCCGTCCCTGTGACAATCTCCACACACCCTCACATCCCCCGTCCCTGTGACAACCTCCACCCCCCTCACATCTCCCGTCCCTGAGACATCCTCCACCCACCCTCACACCTCCCGTCCCTGTGACATCCTCCACCCACCCTCACATCTCCCTTCCCTGTGACATCCTCCACCCACCCTCACATCTCCCGTCCCTGTGACATCCTCCACCCACCCTCACATCTCCCGTACCTGTGACATCCTCCACCCTCACATCTCCCGTCCCTGTGACATCCTCCACCCACCCTCACATCTCCCGTCCCTGAGACATCCTCCACCCACCCTCACACCTCCCGTCCCTGTGACATCCTCCACCCACCCTCACATCTCCCGTCCCTGTGACATCCTCCACCCACCGTCACATCTCCCGTCCCTGTGACATCCTCCACCCATCCTCACATCTCCCGTCCCTGTGACATCCTCCACCCATCCTTACACCTCCCGTCCCTGTGACATCCTCCACCCACCCTCACATCTCCCGGCCCTGTGACATCCTCCACCCACCCTCACATCTCCCGCCCCTGTGACATCCTCCACCCACCCTCACATCTCCCGTCCCTGTGACATCCTCCACCCACCCTCACATCTCCCGTCCCTGTGACATCCTCCACCCACCCTCACACCTCCCGCCCCTGTGACATCCTCCACCCATCCTCACACCTCCCGTCCCTGTGACATCCTCCACCCACCCTCACATCTCCCGTCCCTGTGACATCCTCCACCCACCCTCACCTCTCCCGCCCCTGTGACATCCTCCACCCACCCTCACCTCTCGCGTACCTGTGACAATCTCCACCCACCCTCACATCTCCCGTCCCTGTGACATCCTCCACCCACCCTCACCTCTCGCGTACCTGTGACAATCTCCACACACCCTCACATCTCCCGTCCCTGTGACATCCTCCACCCTCACATCTCCCGTCCCTGTGACATCCTCCACCCACCCTCACATCTCCCGTCCCTGAGACATCCTCCACCCACCCTCACACCTCCCGTCCCTGTGACATCCTCCACCCACCCTCACATCTCCCGTCCCTGTGACATCCTCCACCCACCGTCACATCTCCCGTCCCTGTGACATCCTCCACCCACCCTCACATCTCCCGTCCCTGTGACATCCTCCACCCAGCCTCACACCTCCCGCCCCTGTGACATCCTCCACCCATCCTAACACCTCCAGTCCCTGTGACATCCTCCACCCACCCTCACATCTCCCGTCCCTGTGACATCCTCCACCCACCCTCACATCTCCCGTCCCTGTGACATCCTCCACCCACCCTCACACCTCCCGCCCCTGTGACATCCTCCACCCATCCTCACACCTCCCGTCCCTGTGACATCCTCCACCCACCCTCACATCTCCCGTCCCTGTGACATCCTCCACCCACCCTCACCTCTCCCGCCCCTGTGACATCCTCCACCCACCCTCACCTCTCGCGTACCTGTGACAATCTCCACCCACCCTCACATCTCCCGTCCCTGTGACATCCTCCACCCACCCTCACCTCTCGCGTACCTGTGACAATCTCCACACACCCTCACATCTCCCGTCCCTGTGACATCCTCCACCCACCCTCACATCTCCCGTCCCTGTGACATCCTCCACCCACCCTCACCTCTCGCGTACCTGTGACAATCTCCACACACCCTCACATCTCCCGTCCCTGTGACATCCTCCACCCACCCTCACATCTCCCGTCCCTGTGACAACCTCCACCCACCCTCACATCTCGCGTACCTGTGACAATCTTCACCCACCCTCACATCTCCCGTCCCTGTGACAACCTCCACCCACCCTCACACCTCCCGTCCCTGTGACAACCTCCACCCACCCTCACATCTCCCGTCCCTGTGACAACCTCCACCCACCCTCACATCTCCCGTCCCTGTGACAACCTCCACCCAACCTCACACCCCCCGTCCCTGTGACAACCTCCACCCTTCCTCACATCTCCCGTCCCTGTGACATCCTCCACCCACTCTCACATCTCCCGTCCCTGTGACATCCTCCACCCACCCTCACATCTCCCGCCCCTGTGACATCCTCCATCCATCCACACATCTCCCGTCCCTGTGACATCCTCCACCCACCCTCACATCTTCCGTCTCTGTGACATCCTCCACCCTTCCTCACATCTCCCGTCCCTGTGACAATCTCCACACACCCTCACATCTTCCGTCCCTGTGACATCGTCCACCCACCCTCACATCTCGCGTACCTGTGACAATCTCCACCCTTCCTCACATCTCCCGTCCCTGTGACAATCTCCACACACCCTCGCATCCCCCGTCCCTGTGACAACCTCCACCCACCCTCACATCCCCCGTCCCTGTGATACGTCATCCACCCATCCCTGTGACGTCGTCTGTCACGTTTTCCCGCCGCCCTGCTCTCGACAAAGTGGTACGTGTTCCCACATCATTCATTTCCTACCCACACAACGAGTTGACTAAGCTGTATTACACTGTTTGTTTCCGCATTCCCTACCTCCGTATCACAACATAACGGGAAACTGTGCCTCGTCCTGTGTGTCAGTCAGCTGGTGCGAACTCGCGAGACGGCTCTGGGAGAAGTACAATGAGGGAAGCCTTAATCCACCTAGGTGAGATACGCCTTTCTAAATGCTGGCTACAATACGTGGCATTATCAGTGCCCTGATTGATATTGACACACTTAAAACAGGAAGTATTTCTTATCAAATATAACCTGTTTCATGGCATAGTGTAAACCACCCGTGTTATGGAATAGTTAGAACCACTTGGTTAATAGGACAGTTTAAACCACATGTTTACTGAGATAGTTAGAACCACTTGGTTAATGGGATAGTTTATACCACCCGTGTTATGGACTTTAGTTAGAACAACCTGGTTAATGAGATATTATAGAAAATCCGTTTAATGGGGTATTATATTGAGACATGTCGCCCTCGATTATCGAGGATGCTGTTGAATCCACGGCGTGTGGTGCTTACGCGGATTTACAAACGAAGTACATACGGTTCTTAGGATACTGCGAATTTAATTTGAACCTAAACGTTCATGCGTAGATGCACATGCCATCAGGCTCTGCAACTGTGCACTTAATACACACACTGGGAGTCATGTTGTGATGTCGTGGCATGGCACATCACAGCTTCTTCCAATGATACTCATGTGAAACACCGATACTCATGTGAAACACTGATACTCATGTGAAACACTGAAACTGATGCAAAAAAATTATATCCATGTGAAACAATTAGACTCATGTGAAACACCGATACTTATGTGAAACACTGATACTCATGTGAAACACTGATACTCATGTTAAACACTGATACTCATGTGAAACACTGAAACTGATGCAAAAAATTTATACCCATGTGAAACAATTAGACTCATGTGAAACACCGATACTCATGTGAAACACTGATACTCATGTGAAACAATGATACCCATGTGAAACAATTAGACTCATGTGAAACAATGCCGTTCATTTTGTATATCAATGCTGCTTATATTGTTAAACAATGATACCCATGTGAAACAATTAGACTCATGTGAAACAATGCCGTTCATTATGTGTATCGATGCTGCTTATAATTTTAAACAATGATACCCATGTGAAACAATTAGACTCATGTGAAACAATGCAGTTCATTATGTATATCAATGCTGCTTATAACGTTAAACAATGATACCCATGTGAAACAATTAGACTCATGTGAAACAATACCTTTCATTTTGTATATCAATGCTGCTTATAATGTTAAACAATGATACCCATGTGAAACAATTAGACTCATGTGAAACAATACCTTTCATTTTGTATATCAATGCTGCTTATAATTTTAAACAATGATACCCATGTGAAACAATTAGACTCATGTGAAACAATGCCGTTCATCACGTACGACAATGCTGCTTATAACGTTAAACAATGATACCCATGTGAAACAATTAGACTCATGTGAAACAATGCCGTTCATCACGTACGACAATGCTGCTTATAACATTAAACAATGATACCCATGTGAAACAATTAGACTCATGTGAAACAATGCCGTTCATCACGTACGACAATGCTGCTTATAACGTTAAACAATGATACCCATGTGAAACAATTAGACTCATGTGAAACAATGCCGTTCATTTTGTATATCAATGCTGCTTATATTGTTAAACAATGATACCCATGTGAAACAATTAGACTCATGTGAAACAATGCCGTTCATTATGTGTATCGATGCTGCTTATAATTTTAAACAATGATACCCATGTGAAACAATTAGACTCATGTGAAACAATGCAGTTCATTATGTATATCAATGCTGCTTATAACGTTAAACAATGATACCCATGTGAAACAATTAGACTCATGTGAAACAATACCTTTCATTTTGTATATCAATGCTGCTTATAATTTTAAACAATGATACCCATGTGAAACAATTAGACTCATGTGAAACAATACCTTTCATTTTGTATATCAATGCTGCTTATAATTTTAAACAATGATACCCATGTGAAACAATTAGACTCATGTGAAACAATGCCGTTCATCACGTACGTCAATGCTGCTTATAACGTTAAACAATGATACCCATGTGAAACAATTAGACTCATGTGAAACAATGCCGTTCATCACGTACGACAATGCTGCTTATAACGTTAAACAATGATACCCATGTGAAACAATTAGACTCATGTGAAACAATGCCGTTCATCACGTACGACAATGCTGCTTATAACGTTAAACAATGATACCCATGTGAAACAATTAGACTCATGTGAAACAATACCTTTCATTTTGTATATCAATGCTGCTTATAATGTTAAACAATGATACCCATGTGAAACAATTAGACTCATGTGAAACAATACCTTTCATTTTGTATATCAATGCTGCTTATAATTTTAAACAATGATACCCATGTGAAACAATTAGACTCATGTGAAACAATGCCGTTCATCACGTACGTCAATGCTGCTTATAACGTTAAACAATGATACCCATGTGAAACAATTAGACTCATGTGAAACAATGCCGTTCATCACGTACGTCAATGCTGCTTATAACGTTAAACAATGATACCCATGTGAAACAATTAGACTCATGTGAAACAATGCCGTTCATCACGTACGACAATGCTGCTTATATTGTTAAACAATGATACCCATATGAAACAATTAGACTCATGTGAAACAATGCAGTTCATTATATGAAGACATCCTTGATTATTCTTAGGATACATACACACGGTGCACCTTGAGGTTAATCCTGACATTACATCTCAGCCCGAGCACATACTCTGAGAACGGCTGACACTTACTACTTCAGATGACAAAGCGGAAACGTGTTTCCGATTTCTGTTTCACAATGATAGAAACGGGAAGCGGGAACCACAGTGTTTCTCAGTTTCCGTTCAAGTGAAGTGTACACTAATAATGAAAGCAGTTAAAACACACTGAGGACAATATAATCTATCATCACGATATGTATCTATAAAGAAACATGGATAAAAATAAGCATGCATCACGCTAAATAAACATGTCAATAATTATGATCTACTTTAATATTGGACTATGTATGTTATATGCTAACGGAAAAAAAGTAACTGTGATTCATATAAAGTTCAATAAATAAAACTGTAATCTGAAATTAAATAGTGCATCTTTCAATACATATATTCGTAAAGACATCTCCTCGACTTTAAGTTGGCGATTCACAATTTGCACGGCCAACATTTTTTATGTCTGCATGTTTATTGGGAGCATGATAATCACACACGTGATTTTGGATGTGAACATCACACAAGGATTGTTTAGTCATAATATGCTATAAAAACACTTTAGTTTGACCTTAAATAACGATCACGCAATTTCACGGCTTGTTGAAAAGCAACGTCTACGCGCCGTGGGTATGCTGAAAAGAGGGATAGCGCGAAACGAAGTTGCGAGACATATTTTTGTTCATCGAAACACAATATAATTTCTAATGATACGGTAAGATAGTGGAAAGAGTAGGGTAAGGTGCAGGGAGCTTCTAGAATAGTTCACCATGAAGCTAATTTAAGACATTTGTCTGTGTGATTGGCCGTCTGTGTTATTATAATACCATGTACAGTACACGTGAAATGTGTTTGACTGTACAAAGTGTATTGTTACTAATAGTAAGATATAACACAGACAGGAAGGACTGTAGTCAATATTTAGTTTCAATTGAATTAATAACAGTGAAGTATATGTGTCTAATACAAATGAGATATATATTTATCAGCTTGATGTGAGTGATGCACTTCATATTGTTATCAGCGTTAATTGTGCGGTCACACTGACGAAGATGTCTCTCCATGAGTGTGCTTCACCCATTAGCATATGATCTGGAGCGTCCGGGGTCAAGAGTCATGTTCCTGGACACAGTAGTTGATTCATAAGTACACGATAGTGTAGCAGATAGCGTTAAGGTTAGCATGCAGAACGTGCTTCGTGCTGGGTGAGCGTAAACTGCGCATGCTCAAGACTTTCAGTTGGATTCTGGCGTTCGTAGGTGCAAGTAGAAAACGGATATCTCTCTCTAAGTGACAGAAATAGTGAACTAGAATAGTATAGAAAAAATAGAACAGAAAAAGTTGAGAGAGTTATCCGTTGACATTGTAAACATACGCCAATTAAACAACAACTTTATTTCAAGTTTCAAATTCATGTCATTGTATCTTATTCCATTTTCATTGCTCATTACATTATAAGGGCATTTCACGTTTAGTTGATGGCAAGGCGAGTTCATGTTTAGTTTATTAAGTTAAGTTTCCACTGTGAACCAACATATATCAACTACCTGTTAGACACCACAGCCCCCAACAATTTAGGAGGGCACGGGTGGCCCAGTCGTCTAAGGCGCCGCGATACGCTGTGCAGAGTTGCGTCCCTTCGGCACGCAAGAAACCTATGATTGTGGGTTCGAATCCCGGTTCGCCACAATTATGTTTCTAGGTTTGTCAGCACCATACCCGTGCTCGTGGGTTTCACCGAAGTGGTAAACGTCTGAAACCTGCATCACTTCGGGCTTTCCTCACACATTAAGCTGACACACCGCGATATAACTGGAATACTGTTAAAAGCGGCGTTAAACCCAACTCACTCACTCACTCACTCACCCAACAATTTAGCCCCGGAATTCCCCTTGGTAGGCAAACATGTTGTACTGGCGACTCTTTCCGCCTCCAAATCCCAATTGGGAGTGCAGTACGCTGTACTAGGGGCCTATTCCACCCGGAATACCCCGGGGGATAACGCATGTTGTATTAGGGACCTACACTGCCCCGGAATCCTTACGGAGAGACACATAAGTTGTTCTGTGGAGATATTATGTTATCTATTTCTTGTTGCAGGTCTTCACATGTTTCTGGTGCTTGGTATATACGGGGATCACGTCCACGTCCCGTAAGTGTAGTTTTGGTCTTATATCGATTCTCAGGTATGTTATGTCAATATACATATCACGGGACTTCCCGTTGAGACACACTGCTACAACTCTATGTACATGTGTCTATCAATTGAATTCCATGCACCGCAGAGAGTGTTATATCAAGTCATAATAGAGCACAGTTAGTCATAGCCCTGACCACATACAGACACTAACATACATGCATGTAGTCAAAGATATGCCGACATACGTTCACCGGAGTGAACACTCACACTCACTCTTGGTCTAGGTACACACACTAACATTCACACATACTCTAGGTACACACTCTCACATTCAAACATACTCTAGGTACACACTCTCACATTCACACATGGTCTAGGTACACACTCACATTCAAACATACTCTAGGTACACACACTCACATTCACTCTTGGTCTAGGTACACACACTAACATTCACGCATACTCTAGGTACACACTCTCACATTCACACATACTCTAGGTACACACTCTCACATTCACACATACTCTAGGTACACACTCTCACATTCACACATAGTCTAGGGCACACACTCACATTCAAACATACCCTAGGTACACACACTCACATTCACACATGGTCTAGGTACACACTCTCACATTCACACATAGTCTAGGTACACACACTCACACTCACATAGTCTAGGTACACACACTCACACTCACATAGTCTAGGTACACACACTCACATTCACACATGGTCTAGGTACACACACTCACATTCACACATAGTCTAGATACTCACACTCACATAGTCTAGGTACACACACTCATACTCACATAGTCTAGGTACACACACTCACGTTCACACATGGAATAGGTAAACACACTCACATTCACACATAGTCTAGGTACACACACTCACACTCACATAGTCTAGGTACACACACTCACATTCACACATAGTCTAGGTACACACACTCACATTCACACATAGTCTAGGTCGCACACTCACATTCACACATAGTATAGGTCGCACATTCAATATCAAAGGTCAAGTAGGGACTACTTTCACTGTTTATAAACAAACATGGCGTCTCCCTCGTCATTCGGCGATCGAGTCAGTATTAACCATCGGGAATCTGGATAAACTACAGGGATAGTTGCTATCATTATCAAAACAACAGTCTAATATACTGAAAATCAGTGTCTAACTGTGACGTACACACACTCACATTCACACATAGTCTAGGTACACACATTCACATTCACACATGGAGTAGGTACACACATTCACATTCACACATGGTGTATGTGCACAGTCTCACATTCACACATGGAGTAGGTACACTCTCTCACATTCACACATGGTTTGGGTACACACTTTCACATTTGCACATGGTGTAGGTACACACTCACATTTACACATGGTGTAGGTACATACACTCACATTCACACAAAGTCAAGGTATGCACACTCACATTCACACATGGTCTAGTAACACACACTCACATTCACACAAGGTCAAGGTACACACTCTCACATTCAATATCAAAGGTCAAGTAGGGACTACTTTCACTGTTTATAAACAAACATGGCGTCTCTCTCGTCAGCGGCGATCGAGTCAGAATTAACCATCGGGAATCTGGATAAACTACAGGGATAATTGCTATCATTATCAAAACAACAGTCTAATATACTGAAAACCAGTGTCTAACTGTGACTTACACACACTCACATTCACACATGGTCTAGGTACACACTCACATTCACACATGGTCAAGGTACACACACTCACATTCACACAAAGTCAAGGTATACACACTCACATTCACACATGGTCTAGTTACACACACTCACATTCACACATGGTCAAGGTACACACACTCACATTCACACATTGTCTAGGTGCATACACTCACATTCACACATGGTCTAGGTACACACACTCACCTTCACACATGGTGTAGGTACACACAATCACATTCACACATAGTCTAGGTACACACACTCACATTCACACATGGTGTAGGTACACACACTCACATTCACACATAGTCTAGGTACACACACTCACATTCACACATAGTGTAGGTACACACGCTCAAATTCACATATAGTCTTGGTACACAAACTCACATTCACACATGGTGTAGGTACACACACTCACATTTACACATGGTCAAGGTAAACACACTCACATTCACACATGGTCTAGGTACACACACTCACATTCACACATGGTCTAGGTACACACGCTCACATTCACACATGGTCAAGGTACACACACTCATCACGTATATAACCGAACACACAATAACAGTAAATGACCTGCATATAGTTATCGGTATGTAGACACTCTCAGATGAGACACAAACGGATGACACAATCAAAGACAGACACACGCATGTAGTACGTACACACCCAGTTGCGACGTGGCTTGTCGTAAGAGGCGACTAACGGGATCGGGTAGTCTTGGTTGATGCCTGTCATCGTATCCCAATTGTATGAATCGATGCTCATGATGTCAATCACTGGATTGTCTGTGGCGTTAAACAACAAACAAACAAACAAACAACGCAAAATGTACGGAACCATTGTGTGCAGGTCACAGTGAGGCGAGTAGTGTGTATAAACATGCTCTCAACCACCAATCTATCCTTAAATTGAACGTTTAGTCGTTGTGCCTTGGACATATCCCCACAAGCTGTTAAGCGGCGACAAAGAATAAGGTATTAGAACAATAGTCCATTTGTTTTGCGCTTTTTCCATGCCAGACATCATGCTGAAGGTGCATCACTGTTACCCCTGGCAATGGATCAGTGTACACTCTATGTTCTTTCTCATCTTCCTGAGGAGTATACAACCCAAGCTGCCTGTGAGGCGTTAGAAAGTTAACTTACCATCCCATCCTGTCGGGTACCCATTCACTGCTAGGTACCCATAGCCACGCTGACAGCTAAAGCTCCGTTCATAATGAACACACAATGACATTTAGAAAGTGGTCAAATGTGACAAATATTATATTTGGGATTACACTTTCTTCGTAAAGTACAGATTCTCGTACTCATCCCCATAGCTTTCGGCCGTGGGAGCAATGCCAATTTACCCTTGTCATTGGGTACACAAAGTACGCGATCTAGACAAGCAGTTGTCGGAGTTTAATTTTAGTGGAAGTCTCGGTGGCTGAGTGGGTCAGATCGCTGACTTTGTGCTGGCCATTAGCTGCCTCACTCTGGTAGGGTGGGTTCGAATCCCGGACGGGACTCAACCCCAAAAAGTTAAAGAATCTGTACTTTACTAATAAACTTTTATCCCAAATATAACATGTGTTACATTCATCATATTCAAGTATTTGCGTTCCAAGGAAACAGTTGCTGTGTTGTAGGAAGCCACCAGATGTACATGTACCCGCGCCGTTCCGCGATTGCCTGAAGAGGGTTTTACGTCTCAATATGACCGACATAAGTAAACTACCAGGGGAACAGTAAGTACACGCCCTGTGATCTCTCCATCACTTTTTACTTTAACCAACAGGGCGACAGCTCGACGTTATGTTGTAGCTCCAGGGGTTGGTGGTAGCTGTGTCATCATCATCATTATAATCATCCTACCTTATACGTGCATTACATGTACTCGAATATCTCATGCTGATACCGACATACAGGATGACGAAGAGGTAATGGGTGGTGATAGATGTTGTAGGCTATGACTGAAATGACTGGAAGCTGCACTCTTTGTTCAGGTGAACACGTGACGTGCCTTTGCATGTATTTATGACGGGTGTTACCGTTGGTGTAGGATACGCTCACCTTTTCCCGAATACGTGGTATCGTCGCTATTTGAGTGAGTGAGTTATGATTGTGATATAGTCGGAATCGGACAATGGACAACATGTATTTCTTATTATCATATAATGGGTAGGTTTCTCGGCAGGATAAAGCCAACGGATAAAAACGATATCCGTTGGGGTCATACGCGTATAGAGATGCAAATATCAAAGGTCATGTAGGGACAGCTTTCACTATTTATAAACAAACATCGCGTCGCCGTCGTCATTCGGCGACCGAGTCAGAATTAACCATCGGGAATCTGGATAAACTACAGGGATAATTGCTATCATTATCAAAACAACAGTCTAATATACTGAAAATCAGTGTATCACTGTGACGTAGCTACATCTGTGCTTGTAGACCTCTGCGGCTTGAAACCTTCTCCACAAATTAAAATAGTTGGATTTGGCCGATATATGTTTGAATTGATACCTTGTTTCGTTTTGTCGCTGTGTGTACATCTGACTACACTTCTTAACGTTATGACAGGACAGACCGAGTGTCAACAACGTCTGACCGTGGCCGTGACTTCTCATAGACTAGGGTTAGAGTAGCTTCCCTTTGACAAAGGGCAGTTACTCTAGCGGACAGACCGATGGATTGCCGCGAAAGGCAAATAAAAACAATTGTTGTTTGCGTACATGTTGCTTCGCCACAGTATAAGAAACAGATTTCAGTCGGAACTATATTGGCTACTGTCACTGTCCGACTGACACATCACTTACCCTGTGACGTAATAAATATTAATGCGCGCATTCCAGGAAAACTCGCAAAGTTTCGGTAATGTTTGTGAGAGAGGGGAAGCGATTTTCAAGCACAGAATTGAAGAATGACATTATATGATAAAGAGGTTATCACGCGAGTGTGTTTGGGGATGGTAAATATCCTGCATTGGGAATAAACATTGTATTCAGCGAGCCTTGGCGAGCTAAATACATAGTGTTTATTCCTAATACAGGATATTTATTATCATTTATTTCTCTATTTATTATGGGAAGAGTTTTGTAGTAATTACAGGTATTATTGCAGAGGAATCTTGTTGAATTTCAAACAAAAAGTGTAGTTTATAATTTTACCTGAGGGGAAATTTGTAACATGTGATATCGTTCATAACTATTTTATATTTGTCGTGTTTTTACGTTTTGTCATTGATATTGTGTTTCAGCAATCTTCATAAACTATATGAGTGTTTTTCAAGGGCCATTGGACCACGTACCAGTTCACGTAAGTTGAACATTTACATGTTGATTTTTAAACATCAAACATATTATTGTGTGTGTCATTATTTTGTCTCATAGATATGTATGATAATTTCATTCGTTGCCGTTTTAACTGTTTCACTCATATAGCGACGTACATACAGGTGTCCAGACTTATGTTGGTTTTATAGTGCTAGCCCACTGAAACACCATGACAATTTATCAGGGACACTCCACTCAGACACAGAATACAAACTTCAAACTGGCCAGTCCTTGTTTTATCCTCTTAAAAGCGAACGTCAGGCAGAATGACAAGTACCATCTTTTCAGGGCAAACGCTCTGTCCATTCTAACACTAATGCGAACTCCATGTATTTGATACATCGGTTCAGACAGTACTAGGCCTTACCGAGTGTCAGATTGTTTTGTACCTAGAGATATCTCGACCTCAATTCGATGTCACCCTAGACTTCTTATGGCTACAATGTTATCTTGGGGGCACAAGGGGTCGAGTAGTCTACGGGGCCTGAAATCGCTGTGTCGAGTTGCGTTCCTAGGGCGTCACAGAGACACGTCTAAAGCCTGCACCACCTCGTGTTTTTCTCCCACATCAAACTGACACGCTGTGTGATTACGAAAATACAGTTGAATGCGGGGTTAATCAAATTAACTCTGTTATCTCAAATACTTTCTAAACGATCTTATAACGAGTCACACGTTTAGACGTCAGGATTCCCTCCCTCGATGGCAAGCCGTGAAATAAATGAAGTACGGTTCACTCGGCCTGTGAAGATCCGGGTTAGAATAGGTCTTCAGCAATCACTGGACTTTCTGGTCCAGAATCGATTTTTTACAGACCGCCGTCATTTAGCTTGAACATTGCTGACTGTGGCGTTAAACAAACTAACAAACCAAACCAACCCACTCTCGCATTACAGGGCAAGGCCAATTTTTTCTATTTATATGCTGACCTTGACCACTCCAGCCTCCGCAATATAGCTGTAGTATTGCTTTATACAATGAACATGAGCAAATGATCTTCACTCGACATATGTGACCCCATCTCGGGGACACCCGGTGTCATCCGTGTGATGGGGTCATGTGTGTCGATATGAGGACTGTGTCCATCCCACTAATTCCTTAACCGTGACGGAGATACATCTCAACACGTGACCTTTCGCTTATACAACAGCTCCATCAGCACCACCAACATCACCTGGTCCCACTGCACTACCGAGGAAGACGCTGCTGATTATAATGATCTGCATGGCGGCCCTCATAGCCATGTTAATAGGAGTACTTTCCACTGTCTGCTTTTTCGCCTGCTGCAAGAAAAAGACAAGGTAAGCCAGACTGGCCCGTCTGTGGCTCAAAATGTCTAAAAACTGTTCAGTTTTTGATAATTATATTCGATATTAATAAAGACACCTGCATGTTTTTAGTTCCTGCATAAAATCAATCTAATGATACTACCGCTCCATCTCAGTACTCCTCATGAATGACAAACTGATGGCGATGTGTAATGGGTGCTGATGGAAACAGTTATGATACTTATTTCCAGACGAGGGCAGGTTGCAGAAATGGACGGCACTCAACTATAGATCTATCTGCCGACCCCACATGGTCCATGGATGAAGACATAGACAATACTCAACTGCTGTTATATCTGCTGACCCTACAACATAGAAGCAGATATGCAGCACACTGGAGGTCCAGAGTTACATTGTAACATGTAAATACCGTATTCAACGTAATAAGCGCCCCGGGCGCTCTCACAATTAGAAATAGGGGGCGCTTATTAGAATATTATTTTGAGTTGAAAACTGGTAAATTTCGTGGTTTATGCTAACAGCCTGAAGTGTTTACATACGACAGATATATTTTTCAAGAATTTAATTGCCCATTATTAAGGGTGATATAACACACGAGTGCGTATTATACACGAATAAAAAAAGTCTTGTGTACATTGATCAATCGGAAGGGGTGCTGATTGGGATTGTTTCCTAGCCAATATATTAGGAAATATCGCCGTGGGCGCTTATTGGAGCGGGGCGCTTATTACACGTCGAATACGGTAGTATCCAGTCGGACCTGCCCTTTAGGGAGATGGACATGTTTTATTCCTGTCGGTTCCCTGTTACATATGCGAGCATCGCTTATTCAAAATCATATCATATGAAGGTTTATCATATTGTAAATACACATTTTCCCTGGACTCCTGCGAAACAAAATGACGTCACTTTGACATGCAGTGACGTCATCAAACACTGGATGACATGCGTTTCTCGGAAGCCGATTCTCATTGTGAAGTTCTTAGAAGAGATAAAAAACGTAATACAAAGTTGTGATTTTTTTCTGTACCATTTTCCCTGAAAATGGAATGATATTGTTTTTATGTTTTTCAAATTTGTTAAATAAAATAAGAAAATAAAAAAGAAAGTCCACCTCTTCACCAGGTTTTAACAACGTTGAGCTGGCAGTTTCATAACCATGCTGTGCATCGGACGAGGCCATGTTTAGGGGATAGGTAATGTAGATAACATTGGGTGCGGTACACAGTGAGTGAGTTCGAGGATAACAGTATACCAGAAACAGCAGGTTACCTGACGCCAGAAATGGGGAATCGAACCCGGACCTTGACGTGACGAGAGAACGCGTTCACCACCAAGGTAACCAGTGTCCTTGTGTGAAATAAGCTTTTCGTTCCATTTGTGTAAATTCCATTTTTTGTCGTTTAGCAAATTGTCATATAACAGGATACAATATTATATTAGCGGAATAATTTAATACATCAGCAGTACATAGAAGTTATCTGATCAATTGTTTCTGATGACAGTTTTTGTAAAACACGCGTCGATGAACGCCACATCTTGGTTTGGTATTCTTTTATCGCTTCAAATATCCTTCCCTTTTTTGTTCTTAACGTTGAACGTCGTGGTCAGAAGCAGACCTGCAGATGAACCAAGATGCAATCAAGGTTATATCTCATTGAAAAAAATCAATTAAACTATTAATAAAATATAGCTAATAATGTATGTTAGTAGCGGTCTGCAATTTATCGAGCAACTATCCACACACATTCTGTTAGTAAAACCATAAATAGTTATTTGAACGATCGCTGCTATACTGAAACTATGGGGGAAAATGAGAATCTAGTAAGACGAAAACACACCATACAATTATTCTGTTTCAGCGTGGAACTCTAGGTATGAAACATAATTCATTGTATTTTTGTATTTTACTTCTGGAACTCATGGTGTCATAATGATGTTTGATCACATTCTAACGGTCCTACTTACTCAGGAAGGTGAAGCCGGTGATCATGCTGAACAGACCAAACCAGCCAATCTGTGTCTTGAGCTGAGACGCGAAGATGGCCCCAAGTGGCGCTGTTACTACCTGAACAGCACACAAATATGTTTATTGACATGCTCAAAGAGTTCCATGCATACGTACTGAAAATATAACATCATTTGAACTTCGAAATGCGATTGGTCTAGTCCCTTTAAAGAGCATACGATTCCGTTCCACCGGATGCACCGATCACAAACACATGCAAAGAGAAGGTAATTGTTCACCTGGAAAACACGGGAACACGTGGCACCCGCAAAACCAGCGAATTGCATTGGACATATATTGTTTGATAGACATTACTTTGAAGTTGACGGATGACAAAGTAGACACAATTTATGCATAACATAACATTTACAGTATTAAAGAAGTTGTTATCAATAAATTGTGTCTACTTTGGAATAGAGAGAGAGTCAGTTCCTGACAACGGATGCTGATGTAAAACGTAATAAAGTTTCGATGTATTACAACATCGTTACAACTGACCACACAGGTACACTCACGTATGACTGACACGACGATAGAGCTGATGATGATGCTGACGAGAAGAAAAAGGAGAGAGAGAGAGAGAGAGAGAGAGAGAGAGAGAGAGAGAGAGAGAGAGAGAGAGAGGGAAGGAGAGTTACGAGTAGGGGCGGTTCAGGAAATAATTTCACCGATTTCACCGAGTGGTCTAACCTGTTCTTAAAATGCCACTGCAACTCACTATGCTATCTTTCACCTGTATTGTTTGTGATTTTGCAAACCATATTCAGCAGCTGTCAACCGGGAGTGCAGAATGACCAACATACAAGCATTTATAAAGTGTACAAGCTTAGTAAATATATTGCAGTTATGAGATTATTAGTAAATATGACTTCTGTCAGTGTAATGCAGGATATTTACCGTCCAATAACACTCGCGTGATATTTTAATGAATTGGCTGACGAAATACTATATTCATCTGCATCAATGCCACATTGGTTTTCAAGGTAATGGAAATGATTCAGAGAAGAAAAATAGACCACTCAGTTGTTTATGTCAGGCTATCGGTTCCCGTGGCCTGACAAGGTCGACATTATAACTCGTTTGAACTTCATCTCTATTCTTTCACAAAGCAACATCAGTATTCGGAATCAGCATCAGTATCGTCATATTCTGCCAACATCTCAGGCTGGATACACCCTATTAACAGCATGTTAAGCTGGCTTCTGATATTCGCTTGAGTGATGGTAACATTCAACCTGACATAACTCTTAGAACATGGGTTATTTTATGTTTATCCTTGTTCTTATGGTATCACGTTAAACAGACGTGCTTGCAGTAGGTTTGCTAGTGCCACATGGTATTTCAATTAAATTGGTACCCTTTTGTAAAGGGATTTGTCGCTTGTATTTACGTCAATCGCATTGCGCAGTCATGAGTGTACAATGGCGAAATACACAAAACAGTATCTTTCGGTTTGAAGGTCGCTATGAGATGCCTTCGGATAATATTGACTTGATTTTGCATTTTCATATCATTTCGTCACTGTAGCGAATAAACGTTTGATTTTATGGTTTATCTTGGACTGCGTACCTGTGACGTAAATGCCAGGCCGTAGTTGATAGCATAGTGCGTCTGGCCAAACGATTTAGCCACAGCGACGGAAAACAAGGCGAAGTTCCCCGCCAGGGTCCCGTACAGAAGACACACGTAGATGAAGAACAGGGGCTTCCCTCCCAGTCTCGTGGCGTTGAAGGTGATCATCAGGGAGCAGAAAGAGGTACACAGACACAGCATGGCTATCTGGGGAATGTTATGTTACCAAGTAAGAAATATACATCTTAGAAAATAGATAAATCATGTTTGTGTGGGGATTATAGTGCTACCATTTAAGTGATATACACGTCTTAGGAATAAAAACGACAAAATCCTTTCTATGATGATTAGATGATCATGTGAGTGTATTGTGCCCTACCAGTTGCACGCGTCACAAACACATGCAAAGTCAAGTAAATTATTCTAAAGTTGTGAAATGTAGACACAGAAGACTGGAACTTCTGGAATATTGCTCGACATAAAGAGAAAGTTGATCCTTGAAATAGTCATCCCTCCTTTCAGGCAGTCTTGTAGATAACTCCTGAAGTATCATCCCACTTATGATGTCATCATACGAGTTGTGATTGATAAGTTCTGAGCCTAAAGAATTTACAAAAATGTGTTTTTCAACTTTATCCCATTCCACATTGATACACCTTTGCCAATGATGCGGAAGTAATTCTTTTGGCTGCCGAAAAAGGTTCTCCACTGCTGCTATGACGTTTCCGTTCGAGTCGAAATGGGTTCCTGCTAGAACTTTCTTCACGCCGGGGAACAGATGGAAGTCTGCAGGAGCCAGAGTGGGGGCGGAGGAAGTTCAAAGACTCACTCTTTGTTGGTTGTTGCTATGGCAGTGACTTATCCTGTGAACAAGCTCATTGTCCCAAGGGAAGAGCACACCTGTTCTCAGCTTCTCACGTGTCTTAGTTTTAATTCCATCCAGTAATTGTCTCAAATGTACATCATATTATGCTCTATTCATTGTCCGGCCTTTCGGAAAACCGTCAACCCTGGACATGGAGGCCTTTACCTGGCCAGCTGATGGGACCGTTATTGCCTCCTGAGTGGTGGTCATGATGTCAAATGCTTCCACTGGTTTGATTGTTATTTTGGACAGGTTTCATCCGTAGTCACAAACCGTTGTAAGAACCTTTCTGGGCCAGCTTGAAATAGCCAGATTATAAAGAGACACGTTGTGCATGGAGCGATATTATTCAGGTGTCAGAATCTTTGGAATCCAATGAGCTGATAATTCTGTCATTGCCTATGTGTCTATGATAATGGAATGGGCGCTCTTCTGGGGAATGTGTACTGAACTAACAACATGATTCGCAGTCATTCCGTGTAGGTCATCGCCATATTGTGGTTTCAACGAATCATTTCTGGTGTTGCTGACCGGACAGGCCATCCAGGTCGGGGATCGCCTTCAAGGCTCTCCCTGCCACGCTTAAACTCCTGCCCACCTCTTTACAGTGGCATGGGGAGGGTATCATTCTCCAGTGTTGTACTCATACCTTCATTAATGGCGTTTGTTGTTGAACCCTTTTTTTCCAAGCACTTGGTCAATGCACATTACTCAAGTTTGTCATTTTTCAAAATTCAATACCGACTTGTCACAGCAAACAATTTGTAGATATACCTCTGAGACATGATGTCGACAAAAACATTTTCACTTTTACGCAATATGTAGGGTTCCGAACTTATTTTTCAACCATCGTACGTGAGCCGGTCTATGTCAAGCGGAGATGCTTTAAGGTTTTACCAGAATGTGTTCCCCACACATATGCATCGTTGCTGTCTGGGCACTATATATATATTAAAACTTATACGCGTAATCTGCACGTCTTAGAACATATAAGTAACACGTCTATTTGAGGAATATATTGTTATCACTTAAATATTCCACAGACTATGAAACATAGACACATAAGAGTCTATCACTCACACATGATCGTCACTTACTTTAAATGAAAACCGGTCTGCTATAAAGCCCCAGAACATCCGTCCTGAGAAGTTGAATACAGCAGCGAAGGCGCCAGTGACAGCCAAGAACACGTCATTGTCGATGAATGTCTGCCCATAGTCCTGGGAAACAATGAACGTCTTTTGTAAAGGAAAGCCAATACATAAATGCAATAATACAGACAAATACTGCCATCCATTGCAAATTTCCAGAAACGCTTATCACACTATATGCATTTACCTTGTATAGAGACGACAGTAACACGACTCCTTGTCCATTTAGTAGGAAACACAGCCAAATGGTGTAGAACGCCCGATTCCGTAACACTTGCAGCGGGGACAGGTCATCGGCTTGTCTGCTTCTGAGATAAGTTGAGCATTATGTTAATATATACAAGACCTAAGACACTACACAGGTCATTCGTAGGACATTGACACATTACTTGAAAAGGCAAACTGTTGTACAGTAAAGTCAATTGAGCTTACCCAATATCAGTCATTGTAACGTTTGACGTACATACTGGCTTAAACACTCTTTTTGAAATGTTACATCAGTGCAGAGGGTGCATGATTAGCGAGGAGAAAACAATTGTAACTTTATTTTAAATATGTTAAACAATTACAGTCTTACAATACAGATACAAGCATACAGCACTGATCATTGTTGAAAATTTGATTGACTATCCAAGCACTTTTTATTGCGTTTATGCTTCAATAGTTATTTTCATTATTTATTTATTTATTTATCTATATATTTATCTACTTATTTATCTATTTATTTATTTACGCGGATTCATACTTTGAGAACTGTGGTTTTTGCCTTCATAAATGGGAATGATCGTTTAGTCAAACGTCCTCCACTAGTCCATATGTTACTTTTTAAAGATTTTTCGGAGGCCTTGAATGTTGTAAGCCTGATCAACCAACAAGGCAATTATATAGCAATGCTAATGTGGTCACCACGTGACATAACGATTCCTCAGTTTCCTCGGAAGAAGAAAATCAGGAACATGCAACATCTTGTATTCCAAATATTCATTATACCCCCGTTTACGAAGTAAATCGGCGGTAGCCTGCAACCTCGGGGTATCGCGGTGCTTGTCATGTACGCTAAACGGAACAAAATGCACTCACTAACCTTTATGTTTATTCGTGTTCTCTGTATCAGATGTCATTCATGTTATCAAACAATGCATATTTTACTGATAAAAGTTCATTATTTACATTAGTAGCTCCGAGTAAAAGCCGGGCCTCGCGCTCAGTTTGACAAGGGAGAGAACATCGTATCGCGGTACAGAGAAAAGTTGTGTATGGAGGTCCGAATTGGACAAAAAGAGGACATAATTCTACCAACCACTTGGTATGATCATGCCAGACATCAGTGATTTGTCGAGACAAGTGCAAAGACAGCACAAGTAACATTCTAAATGTGTTATCAGCAATAGGTATTCAATGCATATTTACGGAAAAGTAAAAGAAAAATATTTTTATCAAGTCAAGTCAACATCAAAATATCAGAAATGATATTTTAAGATTGTTTAAAAAAAATTGGATGACAATAATTTGTCACAAAATGGAAAAATGTTAAAAGTCAACAATAAATATATAAAAAACACTCCTAGTATGCCCAAAGTATGTATTTATCTTTTGGTTACTAGTGAAGAACGTATTTCTAAGTTTGGCATTATGGCCCTTATGATATCCCAATAGATTCTGGGCACAGAGCGGGAAAAAATGTGCGGACTACGTAACTTCCGTTACCTCATTAGTCGCCATGAATATGCAGATGATCTAGTTCAGGTCGATAGAGAAAGTTTACTTGGGGAACTGCTGGTTATATCGTTTGCCATTGATAGATGGGGGTAAGGCAATATTACAACAGATGCCAGAAATATGTATCAACGGATTAATAACTCCTTACTTACAGCAGACGGAACATTCCGAGGAAATTGAAATTGTTTACGAAGTGAGCACTTCCTGGTTACTGATTTGCATTATAAGAGGCGTGTCCCGCGTGAACTATCGGAAATCACAAATGCCGCGATACGATGAATGCCGCGGTACCATGGGGTCCGAGTATATATAGCGTTCCGTTCGTCCGTCCTTCCGTCCGTCCTTCCGACCGAGCTTTTGGAAACATTAGAAACGTAAACTTTTAGGGTGGGTGTTTTGTACGGCCCATAACTTTTTAACCATGCACCCTAGCTTCACAAAGCGTTCTACACACATTAGCCACAATGAGTACTTGTGCCTTTTGCTAGTTTGAAGATTCTGATTTTTTTTATTTTTGCCGTTTCCATGGAAACATTAGAAACTTTAACTTTTAGGGTGGGTGTTTTGTACAGCCCATAACTTTTTAACCATGCACCCTAGCTTCACCAAACTTGCTACACACATTAACCACAATGAGTACTTGTGCCTTTTGCTAGTTTGAAGATTCTATTTACTATTTACTATTTGTTGTTGACCAGCGGGGATAACGGGGGTATGTGAGCTTTGCTCACTTCTTTCTTGTTAATTTAGTGTGATTATGGCAATAACCTGTGAGGAATGTATACCTACAAATCACTTTCACTAGAGTCCTGGACATGGTCGCTGCTGTTGGTACTGTCCGACACGCCCTCGGTAGTGGTTTTATTCGTTGTTTGTTCCTCACTGTCACTGCCCAAGGCAAAGTCTACAGTAGGTTCTTTTTCTGTAGTAAACTAAGAAAGTATCAACTCAGTTGAAAGTTTAACAAATAAACATAAAAATCAAGAAAAGTTACCGGTGTGTTTACGTCAGTGCATCTGACAGTCAAGCCGATCAGTCGTCAGCGTCATCTCTACTAGTCTCACGTGTCTGTCAACGTAAAGATGCGCCAGCCAAATGGACGCGAAAAATAGATTTTTTTTTATTTGTTTCAGTTACTAAATACATACGTAACTCTCAATCCTGTCTTTAAAACCACAATGCCATTTAGACCCTACAACCCATCATTTTCAAAATGCTTATGACGATGTATTTTGAGAGAAATCCAAATGGTTCTCAAGATAATGTCAAAGTAGATCTCGAATTGGGAGCGAAAGGTGACTAACGAGATAGAGGACGAGCATGAACATGTCCGCCAGTAACACGATATTTCTGAGTAATAATGTTTTGGGTATGGATTTCAGGACGAAATGTTAAACGTAACCGACAACAGTGGGGAAAACAAACTTACAAACGAACTGCAACATGGGAAGTCATATATCATTATCCAACCGACTCCTCCTCAGGACCACTTCGTGGGTTCACCAAACATTTGAAACAAACAGCCCCAAAACCATTACAACTCACTTCTAAACAATGATTCTACCATGAATTAGGAAATTACTGGATTCTGATTGGTCAAGCAGAGGATATTAAATCCCCTCTGATATTAAATTATCGCTAGGCATATTTACATAATTATATGTACAATGATAGGTTACAAAATGCAAAGTTGCGGTTACTGCAATATTCAAAGGATGTATGGCAATACATTTTGGGCAAGAAAAACAGGATAGAAATCTACAAAGAGAATGAAAGTTTTTGAGAACAGAGAGCTTTAAATTTGGCGCTTTTCTATATACGACTTTGACGTCATATCTTTTGCGTCACAGTTAGCGACATGACGTCATAATGGTGGCGTGCGGTGTAGAACGAAAACTTTGCAAAGCTTGCATAGTTATTTTAGGTGTGCCCGCCTCATGTTAGTTAGTCATATGTTCGAGTGAGATTTGTGTGAGGTATAATATATACATAAATTCGAGGAACCATACAAGGTATTTCACGCCAAAATGTTGTAGATGACTTGGTGATTGTAATCATCTCAGTTATCGGTACATAGGAAATGTCCAAAGTGAAGGTCAGCAACCATCAATAACGCGTATGTCCCCCGTTGGAATCGATAGCGGCCTGACATCTCCTGCCCATGGAAGAGACGAATATGCGAATCACGTTGCACATCCTGGGGACTGGTAGCCCACTCGGCCTGCAACGCAAAAGCCAACTACTGCATCGTCTGGGGTTGTGTTTGACGTTTGATCTATCGGGTTCAAAATCCGGAGAGCCGGGCTCTTGTGATTCGTGCTGTATGTGGTCGAGCGTTGTCCTGATTCCAAGCATTCAAAAACCCTGCACTTTAATACCGTTCATAGTGTTGGTGCACGTGCACTGCATGCAGCTCCATGACCCTTTTGTTAATGCACTGGGTGCGTTTTTTACGAATCGTACGTGTTTCCCGACTAATGGCCTTGTTGTGATCATTTTGATCCGGAAAATTTGTCACCAACACTATATCACATTAAACCTTTTCATTTTGTACCTCTTGGTCCGCTAAGTTTGCTTTTGTGGCCAAAAATATCCTTCCCGCGTTTCTTTTTTTTGATGAGTATATTATGGTGTAAACAAACTGTCTGAGCATATACAGCGCCATATATGTTTTAAGGTTGTTGTCGGTGAAACCGTAATTCACATTGACCACCCACTCAAAACACTGGACTCAACCCATGCAGCTTTTGCTTGCACCAAAGAGTGTGCGTTTTAGTTAGTAATAGTAGAATGGAGATAAACATACAGTGTTTTCAATGTAGAGGTAAGTTACCCGTAGATTTAACTGCACTAAACTAAACATTTAGCGTGGTTAAATATACAGGTAACCTAGCTCTACATTGAAAACACAGTATGTTTATTTCGTAAATATGTTAAATCATTTCTGTTACTGTGAAGACGTGCAATGTCCCCCGTACCCCTAAAGGCGTGGATCGTTACTCACAATATCGACGAATGGATTGTAGGATCCAGTTTCCATGTTAAAAGCCACGGTAGTATATATAGCTCGAATATTGCTGAGTGCGGCGTTAAGAAACAAACTTGTAACAAAGTTGTGTTACCGCCAACACATACCTCCGGCGACAGGGGCTCTCGCATGGCGGCCACGCCCACGATTTGCATGACAACGTATACCCCGCCGGTCAGCACGAACACCCACGGCACCCTGTCCAGGAGCTCAGGTTGCGTGAAGTATCTGCAACCATGGATACATAAACCGCTGATTGGAGGAACGTTTACAAGAGAACCCTGTCTCCATCACATGTTGGAAAAAATCACTGACAGCAACTGAAGCAAGTTTCATATTATTAGATGGTCAAATACCAGAAGTAACGAAAGCCCCGACAGATACCTGAAACTTTACATAAAACATGCATCATGATCCGTTAGGAAGCACATTGCAACTAGGGTAGAGGAAGGACATTAAACAAGGCCTGTAAAAACATATGCAACTAGGCAATATGATGCTTATGCAACTAAGTTATATGAGGCTCCTTCAAAAAGGCTATTGGAAGTAGACATGTAATTAGGCAATAAGAAGATCACACAACGAGGCTATCGAGAACACATGCAGCAATGTCATAGAATGTCGAATAGGAAGAGTAAGTACACGTTTAAAGTATATCCTACTGATATTGTACTCACTTTTCTCCATTGACCTTCAAATCAGGTGACAGATTGCCTGGGTTGATGAAAGCCGTTTGGACCAGGTTAAAGATGAACGCTCCTCCCCCGAACCCCGCCACCACTAGGCCACCTGCCATGCCTTTTCGTTCCGGGAACCACTTTACAAAGAACAATATCAAGAACGGTGAGTATGAGAAAGTTAGTATGATCAGAAATAGTGAGTGAGTGAGTGAGTTAATGATTTACGTCACATCGGCAATATTTCAGCCATATCGTGACGAGAAATTAAACATTTTTTAATACGTATATTTTTGCTAAATTAAAACCTGTCATCGATGGACAGTAAAACCACCAGAATATCACAGATTAATATGTAAAACTAGTCAACAGCTATAAACAAATATCACTATAAATTACGGCACAATATAAAAAAGGCTATAGAACGCCAGCAGCTGAAGGTAGATCACCATGCTAGGGTCCATAGGGGCTTACTGTACTTTTGCTACCTGCATGGACCCTAGCCGGATTTACATAATTCCCCTCTGCTGTTTGATCAGAAATAATGTATCCCGGCATCTTCAGCAACCTGTAATAGAAATAATAATCCACACCTGGGAACACAGGACAGTGGTTCAAATCACGACCTTCCACCAACGTTGTCTTCCCCATGTAGACATTGATTACTTCGTCGTCATATTCAGATGTCTGGTCCAACTCGATTAGTTATAGAAAATCGTCATATTAAAACAAACAAATTAAACAACAAAAATGATATTCAAACGAATTAAGATAGTTCTATAATAAGATAAAAATAGTTTTTCAACTCCTCTGTTGGAGAAACACTGTTAAAAAAACATACAGCTGTATTGAACATTGTGAAATAACATCACATGCGTTGGGATTATTTTGGATATATGCAAATCATTCGAATGGGGGTGTCGGAAGCACTATGCTACTGTACACAACGTCTACTCTTCTCCCAGACGAAACATCTACTCCTGCAAGACACAACTATCACATACACATTTTCGTGAAACTCCAGTGGTTGCCATATTTTATTTGAATTTGTCCGTGAGCAGTAATGTGCCCAAGAGAGAGAGAGATTGCACGGACTTTCATGGTGCAGTATCACAAGCATTGTGACATCATAGAGATCACAAAGAATCAAACATTAAGATGAAGTATCACCACAAGATTCATGGGCGCGTGTACTTACGACATTGAAGTTCATTATACATAAGAACGTATGAATCACATAGCTATGATGGATTGACTCAATGAATAAATCGTCTCTCGGGGCTCACCTCAGCTACACGCAGTTTGATATTATGAAGCAAAATTTTCCGTTGAATGCAGATGTTTCTTTCTTAGTGATGTTACTGTTGATGCCGTCCATGATCGCATCATCAGGTACGAATGTTGTATTCACACGCCACCCTACGTCTTTTTTCAGCTTACATTTGATACAATATGATATATAAAGGAGTGCTAAATACATCATTACACTCGTCACCGTTAGATGCCGGTTTTATTATTTTATCACTCCTCGATTTCGCTCGTTAACTACCTTTTAAAAAACAATACAGATGATTCAGTACAAGTCAAAGGCCAACATACATGATACATGTGACAAAAAGATGCAACAGCACACACGCTGGAAGAGACTCATACATGTATATTGTTTTACTGTCGTTGTACAAAGACGGCATCTTATAGGCACTCGTTTAGTCATCTATAGAAATATAACATGTACAGTGGCAGGGTAATGAAGCACCGGAAGTAGCTACTGGAAAGAACGACAAATCTGTCTTTTGTTTAATTGGGAGACGCTACTTATGAGGGTCTAATAAATGTGCGATCGGGTTAAAACACCCGCTTATGGTTAATGTCGAGAGATGTGGCCAACAATCAGTAGCGGATCCTGCGACCTCAGGGGGCAACTCGAATCCAAGATGTTGTTTAAAGCTCCAGTAAAGAATTATAGGAACTTTTATGAGGTTCCGTTACATAAGAAATGGTTTCATAGTGCTGAAGCAACAAAATACATACACTCTTCTCTACATACAAAAGGGTGGGATCTCCGTACAAAGTTACCTTCATTGCGCATGACAAGGGGAGTGAGTAGGCAACGCCCGCCCCAAGACCAACCATGAGACCATACGTCAAGATGACTCCGATGTACGAATGCTGTATTGTGAAGTACGTGAAGGTTACGCCAGAGCTGTGTGCAAAAAAAACATACTTATTTTTTTAAATGTTTTACGTGTCTGAACATGAAGTTATCTCGGTGGATACTTCGGATGGACGGTGACAGTGTATGTACGGTATGATAACGGTTAGTTTGAGATATTGTCTTTGCACATACTAACAGTTTGCCATTTGTGATACAATGCTGATGAAAACATACTGAGTCCTTCAAGTCAAATCTAATTTCTAGAAAATCCCTGGAGAAGTGCCGGTTGTCATGCCTTACTCAAACTTCGACCTCAACTCAGTGTTCCTACTTTTGTCATAGTGGCAGATTTTGAATACATTATCAGGAAAATCAGTAGCTGTAGGCCCTAACCCTGAGTCTTTTCACACACCTGTCAATCAAAAGCATTAACCACCTGGATTCTGTTGTGAAATCATTTTCAGATCATACTTAGTACAAACCTGCTATTATCTACAGAGGGCCTGATGTTTCAGCAAATTTAATTGCCTGTGTGATAAAACTGGGAATAGATATAGATTCTTCATTTCTGTTATGTTCCACAACCTTCGAGGGTATGATATTTACTTGATGATGAAAAAAATAAATCAGACAGTCAAAAAGTGAAAATAGATGTTTGGCCAGTAAGATGTAGAAATATATATATCCTTCTCTACTGGCAACTTGAGGTTAAGTTTTTTAATGCTTCACTGGATAATGGTACAAATTCATCACAGAGTCACAGATCAAATCGATTCAGAAATACTGCTTAGCTGAAACCCTAGATTTACTTCAATACCCGGAAACGAAAGGAAGCAAGAAATGAAACGAACAGACCCTTTTTCTACCAGCAAACAACTTTGTGTTTAGCCTTTTCATGGTGAATTACATGCAAATGTAGTGTTGTTCAATTATACTACACCATACAGAAAATGCTGCTGAATACCCATATCTGAAGCATTACAAAAATATGTCTGATCTAGTGACTGTTCACCTAAAGAATGCAACTTTATTTCTGAATCAACTAGTGTATGCAGGATTCTCCATCCATCACATTTTCACTGCCACTTTACAAAAGAAAACTATGGACAACTACTAAGGTAGTGACAGCAGATTCCTATGCTGACATGGAGACTCGTGTCACAAGTAGCTATGATCCCTCCATTCCCGTATTTCAAAAGCCAATACCTTGGCAAAATGAAAGATGAAAGATGAATTTATTGGCCTGAGGCCCGAAATAAATTTCGTTTCCTAGAGGGTAAGAGACTGCCAAGGGAGTTTCTAAAATAAAAAAAAACAACTCAGGCATTCTAAGTAGAATCATTTAACATGAAAGGATTTCAGTGAGTGAACCTTCAAAACTTCAGCATAGCTGTTAATAATTTTGTCTCAGTCCTTTCAACAATAAAGGGTATGTTCTCGATGATGAGATTTATACTCTGTCTCATGGCTACTATGAAATCTAAAACATATCTATCTACAACAATGTACATCCAATGTTATAACCACTTCGTGCCAATAATTTTAATGAACTCATGCGCTTGTACGACTAAATGATTGTTATGTTTCCAGTTTCCAGTGTCGTTTATGTATGATAACACTACAGATCAGCTAGAATTTGAACTCATTTCATATGTTGACAGAAACATCATGTTTATGTATGAATACTTTATATAATACAATATTTGATTAAATTTGAAACCATTTGTGAACGTTTGTCTTGTAGTGCCATGGAGGCTACTCAAGATATATTTGACCTGACACTCAGTCAATGAAAATGAAGGCATAAAAAATGAAATTAGTAAGTTCCCTCCACCATATATATGATACTATATAGGATTGGGCAATATCCTGATTGAACCTTACAGTAACATGTTACAATATACAGAATAGTATTCAGAGTCCGTCTCTTGGTCATAATGATCCTCATTGGCTGGACCACTGACATAGTCTCCAATCTCAGACATGAGATAATATGTCTTTGACACCTTTGAATGGGCTTCATACACACTTTAATCTCAGTTGACAGAACATCGGGGCTCATATTGGGATCTATCGCTTTTGCATTATCCTGAATATGTCTGAACAGCGATCCACAGCTAAATTATAACCAATTGATCAAGGAATGTTCACCCCAACACATTTGCACTTTCTTCTTGATCCATCTAACACTTAGACCATGGTCTTCTTAGTATTCTTAGCCAGTATACATATATGACAGTGATTCAGAGTATGTTCCTACATATAATCCAATCGGATCAGTTCTCAGTCTCTGTCGGGGGCACGGGCGGCCCAGTCGTCTAAGGCGCAATTATTCGCTGTGCAGAGTTGCGTCTCTCGGGCATGCCAGGAACCTATGATTATGGGTTCGAAACCCGGTTCGCCCAGATTATGTTTCTAGGTTTGTCAGCACCATACCCGTGCTCGTGGGTTTCAATGATCAATAGCACTTTGATTTTTGCGGAAACCACATTGAATATTTGTTAGTAGACTATTGGGTTCTAGGAACTAAAATAATCTATTATTTACCATTCACTCCATGGTTTTACAGACACAACTGGTTACAGATATAGGACGGTAATTTGAGGGATCTGTTTGATCCGGACCAGGCGTTGTGATAGGGACCACAATGGTATCATGCCACGAAGGAGGAAAGTTCCCTGACGTCCATATTTGGTCAAATATATCTAACAGTGTTTCGATACATGATTTAGGCAGATGTTTCAGCACCAGCCGCTGTATCAGGAGCTTGCCGTAGGGCATTTTGTAGCTCATGGAAGGAAAACACTTCATTATAGTCTTCCCCATTATCAGAGTTAAAATTAACATTTTTCTTTTCCTGTTGTTTCTGATATTTAATGAATTCATGGACATAATTGGATGATGACGAATGTTTTGCCAATGTTGCACCAAGTTTTATTGGCAGTGTCTGATTTATGAGTTGATAACTCATCACCTTCCTCAAGATAATGAACAGAGAACTTTGATCCTTTGCCTCTATTTTTTGTATCATGTTCCACACCCCGGACATAGGAGTACGGGCATTTAATTTGGAGACATAGTTCCTCCAAGATTGTCGTTTGTTTTGTTTATAAGACTGCCTTGCTTTTGTATTTGTAATTTTTACTTGATCTAAATTATGAACTGTAGGATGTGGGCGGAAGTACTTTTCCGTTTGCATTCGTTAGTAAACCACTGTTTGCGAATATGAGAATTTGCAGAAGACTTAGGAATTGTTTGATGGGCTATTTCATTGAGCTGATCTGAAAACATTTGAATCGGATTTTCAATATTTTGAAAATGATGACAGATCAAGTGCTGAATAGGTGTTCGAATCATCATTACAGATATATAAATTATTATCAGAAAGTTGCTTTGTCCCATGGGTGTGTGGGGTGGGGTGGGGTGGGGTGGTGGTTGGTAGGGGGTTTGAATGATGACAGTTATACTGCCTAATATCACATTTGTCTGTACTTTTAAGGTATGTTTCCTGAAGACATAAATCAGACGGTTTAAAATTCCGTATTAATAATTGAACATCATTAAAATTAGTCCTTAGTCCTCTGCAATTCCATTGGAGTATAGAAGGTGAATAAATCATGGTGGCTCAATAGGAGATCTCTCACGGGAACGTGAGGAGGAAGAACTCCTATCAGAATGCATTGACGATGGAAATACTTCCATATCCAGAGTTGTGGATTGGCACCTCTGAAAGATCGGGATTCCTGGGTGATTAGTTTCTTTGTGATTTTTTTCCTTTCCTTTTTGTTCATATGGACAGATTCAGTTGCAGGCTTTTCAAGGGCTAATTCAGGAGGAGTGTGACTTCTCTGCCTGAGATGTTGAAGGTGGTGTCAACTCTGTCTGACACAAGACAGACGTAGATTGAGCTGGCTTAGAGACAACAGCAGAATAATTAAGTGCTAATTATCCCCCGCCACGAAGTGGAAGGGGGATTTATTGTGAGCAAGGATCCACCTCGTTGGGGTATGGTGTCACGCTGTCAAGTAAATCACCGAGCCCGACCACCGCTCTCAATATCAATCACTGGTGTGTCCACAGATCTTATGCGAAATGCCCACCAAATTTTTGAAACCCCACCCCAACCAAGTTATGACACCTGCCTTCCAACCTCATGCGACCCTGCCACAGAACCTAATAAGTCGCCCATCATACCACTGCTGGAGTCCCACCAATCAACTTCTTGAGCCTATCCATGTTATAAGAAACGCCAACTGACCTCATGAGCCCCGCCCCCAGCAAGACGGTGAGTCGTAGACCGAGTCTTCTGCTGATGATACCTCCGAGAAACATGGATAACCCTTGACCTACAGCTGCAGTCGCGAATATCCACACACTGTCGCTGTAGTCCATGTCATGGTCGGAGGTGCTGTTCCGAAGGTATGACGTCACGTATGGTGTCAAATTACCTGTATGGAGAGATCTCGTGAAGCGAAACAATCAAACGGATGACAAAGTAGTACCGGATGTTTTTTCAGCTTATGGTAGCTGGGAGGATCCTCAAATATTTGCCATGAGATTGCCACACGATATCGCGACAAAGTCAAAGTGCGTTGCGATATTGCGATATCATTATACGATATAGCAATATTGCTGTACAGTCACAAATAAAATAACCATAACATGCAACGAAAAAGCAATATGACGACCGGACGAAGTTTGATGACAATAAGATGAAGCAGGATTATGATAACACGACATAACATGACAATAATTCAACACGACTTGGCGATAAAGCGAAAAAATTGACAATGCGAAATGGTCACGCGATGGACGAAATGAGGGTACTGATCGAAAGTTAACTGTTTAACGGGAAATGTAAGCCCACACGCCCTGCAGGGCACACTATTGTTTGTGGTTCAGAATGTCACTGTTGTACACGCCGATCCTCTCGTCCCATAGTGTTCTATCGGCTTCAAATCTGGCGATTTAGACGCCAACAGAGGAATCTTACGTGATAGTTCCATGCGAATTGTGCTGATACAGAGGCTGTAAACAGTCCAACAGAACTCAAAGATGACGTTAGCTTGGCTCATAATGGGACCACCGTGTGTTAGTAGGGCTAGTCTATCGGTTTGGGATATTTCATAACACATGCCACATCATTACGCTGCCACCGCTGCCATGAGGCAAAACCTTGTATCACTTGACACTTGTAACCTTGTCGGCTTGACCTGGGTCGGTCGGTAACATATCTTTGTTCTGGAGGACTTATCTGGGGTAGGTGACAGCATTGTTCCGTTGTTCCCCAGTTCACCGCGGAAGGACGTTGCACTTAAACGTTTGCAAACAGACATCGTCTAAGATCACAGATAATCAGTTTTCATGGGTCTATTCATGATGTGTCATCGAGCCCATGGTATTTCTGGTGACGTTTAGAGATATGCATTTGTTCATCGCTGAACTGGATCAGACAATGAGTTACACACTCACATCCTATTCCCGCTTTACATAAATTTCTAAGTAATATGCTCCTACAAAAAAAAATATTCCCACTTCTACAAAATTGGGGGGGGCGCTATGACCATGTTGTGTCATGTCATCGCGATGCCTTTTAGTGCTATCACCAAGTTGTGTCACATCATCGCAATACCTTGTCTTGTTGTCCCCATGTTGTGTCGATCATCGCGATGCCTTGTCGTGCTATCACCATGTTGTGTCACATCATTGCAATGCCTTGTCATTCTATTACCATGTTGTGTCACGTCATCGCGATGCCATGTCGTCCTATCAACATGTTGTGTCACATCATCGCGATGCCTTGTCGTCCTATCACCATGTTGTGTCATGTTATCGCGATGCCTTGTCGTACTATGACCATGTTGTGTCACCTCATTGCGATGCCTTATCGTGCTATCATCATGTGGCATCTTGTCATTGCAATGGCTTGTCGTGCTGCGACCATGTGGCATCTTGACATTAAAATGGCTTGTCGTGTTGTCACCATATTGTGTCATGTCATCATGATGCCTTGTCGTGCTGTCACTATGTCTTATCATGTCATTGCAATGCTTTGTTGTGCTGCAACCATGTTGTGGCATTTCATTGTGATGTCTTGTCGTGTTATCACCATGTTGTGTCATGTCATTGTGATGTCTTGTCGTGTTATCACCATGTTGCGTCATGTACTCGAGATGCCTTGTTGTTTATCACCATGTTTATCACTATCTTTATTTAGGCCATATTCGTGGTGCTTGAAACTACTCACGTCGCAGTGTGTACAAAACTAACACGGTGCAGAGGCATGAGGCAAAAGCTTGTATCACGCGGTCGGCTTGACCTGAGTCGGTCGGTAACATATCTTTGTTCTGGAGGACATATCTGGGGTAGGTGACAGCATTGTTCCGTTGTTCCCCAGTTCACCGCGGAAGGACGTTGCACTTAAACATTTACAAACAGACAACGTCTAAGATCACAGATAATCAGTATTCATGGGACTATTCATGATGTGTCATCGAGCCCATGGTATTTCTGGCGACGTTTAGAGATATGCATTTGTTCATCGCTGAACTGGTTCAGACAATGAGTTACACACTCACACCATATTCCTGCTTTACATAAATTTCTAAGTAATATGCTCCTAAAAAAAATAAATATTCCTACTTTTACGAAATGGGGGGCGCTGTGACCATGTTGCGTCATGTACTCGCGATGCCTTGTTGTGCTATCACCATGTTTATCACTATCTTTATTTAGGCCATATTCGTGGTGCTATCAACATGTTGCGTTATGTACTCGCGATGCCTTGTTGTGCTATCACTATGTTGTGTCATGTCATTGTGATGCCTTGTCATGTTGTCACCAAGTTGTGTCACATCATCACAATGCCTTGTCGTACTATCATTATGTTGTGTCACATTATCCCGATGCCTTGTCGTTTATCAACATGTTGTGTCACATCATCGCGATGCCTTGTCGTTTATCAACATGTTGTGTCACATCATCGCGATGCCTTGTTGTGCTATCACCATGTTGTGTCACATCATCGCGATGCCTTGTACTATCGCCATGTTGTGTCATGTTATCGCGATGCCTTGTCATGTTATCACCATGTTGTATCATGTCATCGCTATTCCTTGTCATGCTATGACTATGTTGTGTCATGTCATCGCGATGCTTTGTTGGACTATCTCCATGTTGTGTCACCTCATCGCGATGCCTTGTCGTGCTATCACCATGTGGCATCTTGTAATTGCAATAGCTTGTCGTGCTGTCATCATGTGGCATCTTGACATTAAAATGGCTTGTCGTGTTGTCACCATATTGTGTCATGTCATCATGATGCCTTGTCGTGCTGTCACTATGTCTTATCATGTCATGGCAATGTTTTGTTGTGCTGCAATCATTCTGTTGCATGTCATTGTGATGCCTTGTCGTGCTATCACCATGTTGTGTCATGTCATCATGATGCCTTGTCATGTTGTCACGATGTTGGGTCACATCATCGCAATGCCTTATCGTGCTATCACCATGTTGTGTCATGTCATCATGATGCCTTGTCATGCTATCACTATGTTGTGTCCATCATTGCGATGCCTTGTCGTGCTATCACCATGTTGTGTCATGTCATCATGATGCCTTGTCATGTTGTCACGATGTTGTGTCACATCATCGCAATGCCTTATCGTGCTATCACCATGTTGTGTCATGTCATCATGATGCCTTGTCATGCTATCACTATGCTGTGTCCATCATTACGATGCCTTGTCGTGCTATCACCATGTTGTGTCATGTCATCATGATGCCTTGTCATGTTGTCACGATGTTGTGTCACATCATCGCAATGCCTTATCGTGCTATCACCATGTTGTGTCACGTCATCACGATGCCTTGGCATGCTATCACTATGTTGTGTCCATCATTGCGATGCCTTGTCGTGCTATCACCATGTTGTGTCACGTCATCACGATGCCTTGTAGTGTTGTCACCATGTTGTGTCCATCATCGCGATGCCTTGTCGTGCTATCACCATGTTGTGCCACGTCATCGCGATGCCTTGTCGTGTTGTCACCATGTTGTGTCATGTCATCGTCATGTTGTGTTATGTCATAGTGATGCTTTGTTGTGCTATCATCATGTTGTGTCATGTCATTACGATGCCTTGTCATGCTATAACCATGTTGTGTCGTTCTATCGTTTTGTCGTTGCGTATCATCACTTTTTCGTTTGAAGCTGCATTGCAAGATCGCTATGTTTTGTCGATATCGCAGGACGATACAGCAATTGTTCTTCTCAGCCACCATATTAACACGCACTCGCAACAATAACTATCTCATAAACATGTACATGTACTGAGAAAAACAAAATCAACAATATGAAGTTAATGTGTTTTAAAAATGTCACTAGAAAAAAACATGATATGTTCATAATTACGCTTTGAAGGAACATTGCACAACTCGCAAACAAAGAGTTACAGAATGAGGTGTTTTCACTGCTAGGTATCTAATGAATGTCAACCAAGTTGAAGGTTGAAAACCTTTTAAAAATTAAATACCTTTACAAATACTTACCTCAAGATACCAACTTACCGAACGTATAGAATGTTCCAAGAGTAAGATGCACAAACATTCCACCAAATACAGCGAGATAGGCCTTCAAAGGACGAGCCGCCATTTTACCGTATTACTCTCCGCTTGTACAAGCGACTAGGGAGGTGTTGGGTCATCTGACTTCAGATAACGAAAGAGTACGAAAGTTGTCACACATTAAGTAGTTTAGGTCGCCCAGTCAATTGTTCACAGATAGGGTATAAAAGTTCAGGGGTAGTTCAATACTACTACTACTACTACTACTACTACTACTACTACTACTACTACTACTACTACTACTAATAATAATAATAATAATAACAGAAAGCTTTCTGTTTGCTGCTCAGGACCAGTCACTTCCCACTCGAAACCGTCAATGTGTGATTTTGTATCAAAATGTCAATATGAAATGTAGATTCTACCATGAATTTGGAATTTACTCGATTCTGATTGGTCAATCAGAGGCTATTAAATCACAATACACCCCCTCTGATTGAAACAGCTGGTTTGACGGCCGCATCACCGCGGAAGCAAATATTCACAGAATAGTACTATTTTCAGTCTTTGTCGGTAGACATATTTAAATAAATATATCTACAATTACAGGTTACAAAATGCACAGATGCGGTTACTACAGTATTCAAAGGATGTGTGGCAATACATTTCGTGCAGAAAAACACGACAGGAATCAACAAAAGGAATGTATTTACGTTTTGGACACAACAGAGAGCTTGGAATTTTGGCGCTTTTTTATATACGACTGTGACGTTATATTTTTTGCGTCACAATGAGCGATATGACGTCATTATGGTGACGTGCGATGTAGCGCGAAAGCCTTGCAAAGCTTGCTTTGTTTTCTTTAGGGATGCCCACCTCATTTTAGCTTACCAAGTTGCCTTTGCGTATATGCTTTCAATGCCTGTCATATGTTCGAGTGAAGTATTACGGTATTAACAGACTGCTTGAGTATATACAGCACCATATTTTGTTCGGTGATTCCGTAATTCAGATCGATAACCCACTCAAAACACTGAACTCAACCCATGCCATCTCACTCAGTATATTTGCTAACACCAAAGAGTTCGCATTTTATTTAGTCATGGTAGAATTGAGATAAACATACTGTGTTTTCAATGTAGAGCTAGGTTCCCTGTAGATTTAACCCCGCTAAATTTAACATTTGACACCTCACGCTGCGCGTTCGGTTCCAAATTCAATTTAGCGGTGTTAAATCTACAGATAACCTAGCTCTACATTGAAAACACAGTATGTTTATCTCCATTACTATGTAATGAATTCAATGAAACTGTCCAACACATTGTCAGTGGATGCCCAGCTTTGGAACAAACACAGTATCTTAAGCGACATGATGGTGTAGCGCGATCATTTTATTACTGTCTTCGCCAAGCTTGTGGTTTTGACACAGAGGTCCACCCATGGTATAACCCTGAATATGTAGACGGCGTCATGGAAAATGATAAATACAAAATTCTTAGGAATATGCCCATTTACAGCCTCAGATGTATCCAGGCCAACAAACCTGATCTTGTCCTTTTTGATAAACCCAATGAAATCATTTATATCATTGAATTTTCTGTCCCCTTTGACACTAATGTGATTGACAATATTGAGAAAAACATGGCAAATATGCGGACCTCGCTTTCGAAATGTCACGCTTGCATCCCAAGTACCAAGTTGTCCGACTCCCCATTGTTATCGGTGCCTTAAGTCTGGTACCTCCCAATCTGTTGACTGACATTGGGAGAGTACCCGGGTTTGCTACAAGGAATACAGCCCTTCTGACAATCTGGGTAACGCAGAAGGCTGCAGTGGCGGGGAGTCTTCACATTCTCCGAAAAGTTCTGGGTGGGTTCGACTAGGCAGCGCTTCCTGGGAGAAGTCCCATTCGCTCTCTGGGCTGCGTGTAGAGGGGCCAAGGGCCCTTAGCTGATGATGACCCTAACCAGCCTGACTGTGCCAGGATCACCCAAACCCTCTTTGCTGCATTTGTTTATTTTAATCTGTAAATAATAATAATAATAATAATAATAATAATATTAATATTAATAATAATAATAATAATTCAAGTTGCAAGCAGCAATGGTGGGCTCCAAGTAACACCGCGTACAAACGTCAATGTTCGAATCGTCAAAGGGTTTCCTTGTACCAAATCTGTCAAATGTAGGCACCATTTGCAGGGTATCGCCGTTACGAAATTGTCGTGTGCCAGGGTGTCCAAGACTCTTCTAAACCAATTTCCGACCTTGAACATGTTTGAATCCTCAAAGGGATTGTTGTACCAACAACGTCACCGGCCTCGCCGCTACGAAATTGGCATGTTTCAGGAGTGTCCCAAATATTAATCAAATATTACCACCAAGCGGTGTTACTTTAAGCATGCAACTAGGATCAAAAGATGAGGTACATGTGTCCGACTTACTTCATGTCAACTTCTGTGGAGAACCTTTCAAGATATGATCTCTAAAGTAAAATTTCGGTGCAACAAATCATCACAATCAAACCCCCATACGGCCGTCACTAAAAAAAGATATCCCAAAAAAGGGCTAACAGAGTTTGATGTGTTGTGTATGGAGACAATTCTCAGAAAGTTTGAAATCATTTCATGCAGTGGGTTCACAGGAGATAGGGCATGTACCCTGAAAAGCCTGTGAAAACCTTGAATCCAATATGGCTGCCACAACCACGTGACAAATGACCAAAGTCCAAGAACAAAAAGTGTCAAGCACCCAAAGGCCGTGGGATTTTGGCAGAATCTAGTCTTCATACACCGACAAATTTTGAACAAAATCGAGTCAGTAGTTATTTGCTAGCTCTGGTACAAAAATCGGCGGAATAATAATAATATTAAATCAAACGATAACACAAGGGCTCTTCAGCCTTTCTGCTTGGTGACTCTTTAACAGGCTGTAACTTCTTTGTCAATTGAGCAACAGTCATACAGTCAAACGGATTAGCGTTCTAAGTTCGCCGGAGCTCGGGTTTAAAGTGCGAAACCTGTTTCCGACCTCGTCCATATTCAATTCCTAAAATGGTTGTTTTTACCAACGTCGTCAAAAGTAAGGAAACGCTTGCGAGACTTCGACGCTACGAAACTGACATGTCCCAGAACGTCAAGTGACGTTCTAAACCCATTTCAGACACCGTCCATGTTCGAAACAGCATATGGTTTTCTTGTACCAACGCCGTCAAACGCAAGGGATCGCTTGCAAGACATCACCACATGTCCCAGTGAGATCTTAACCCATGTTTGCTTCGACCGTGTTCGAATCCTCCAATGGTTTACTCCGTCTAAAGGGAGTCGCCGTTTGCAGAACATTACCGCTACGAAATTTGCGTGTGCCAGAGTGAACCCGAGTGTTCTAAACCCATTTCCAACCTTGACCATGTTCGAATCCTCAAATGGTTAGCTTTTAATAATGCTGTCAAAAGTAAGGTACGGTAGCATTTGGTAATTTGGAAATGAAGTACAAAGTCAGGGAGCCTGACTGCCCGATTCCGATAATCGCCTCTTAAGACAAGCATAGTCGCCTCTTAAAACAAGTATGGGTTTCTGTAGACCAATTCTAACCCTGGTAGTATACATAATGCAGAAGACATTACGACACGACTGGCTATTGTTGACGAGTCTATGCAAAGTCAGTGAACGGGGGTATTCGTATATTGTCTGGGCGTTTGATTCAGTATTTATTCTCGAAATGTCGGTTTATAGCCTAAAATCAAATATTACCACCAAGCGGTGTTACTTTAAGTATGCAACCAAGTACAAAAATGAGGTACATATGGTACACTAACTTGATGTAAACTTTCAATAGTTTCTGTGAAGAACCTTACAAGATATGATCTTTGAAGTAACATTTTGGTGTAAAAAATCATCAAAATCAAAATTCAATAGGGCCGGTATAAACTCTCCCCCGTACAAGTTCTCCCCCCGGAGATTTTATAGCGGTTTCTCCCCCGGAGAATCTGTTCTCAAATAAAATCTCCCCCGGACGGGTATATTTCGCGCCCCCCTCAGTATAAAGTCTCCCCTGGATTCCTGGATTCTAGAGAGGTAACAAATTTTAATTTACCTTTACGTGTATCCCATCAAAGAAACAGAGGATATACAGTTAATGTAGAATTCCTGGTATCATCGCTGTTAGATGGTGATCCATAAATGCATGATTGTGATGAAGTCAGAATCAAACACTGGATATGTCTTATGAATATGGAATTTGTTTCGTGACGCACATGTCACAGAGAGAGAGATTCATACATGTACATCACGAAAACAAATTTTCGTGAAAAGGGTAACCGTGTCTTGCACCACTACTGACACAATGTTCATCGAAACATTCAGTGGCAGGCGGTATTGAGGTGTGAAAGCTCCATGTAGAGGTCGTATGAGGGAGACTGAAAACTTCTGAGCCTGACTACAAAGGATGTATGCTACACACTCAACATTTTGCATGTATCATGTACAATACTTTCAATTCTCACATGCTGCATTTGAACCAAATACACACCAGTCAGCATATTTCTGCAGCATCAAAGAGAACAGGTCTTCTAAATTGATGTAAATGGCGAAAATTGGCTACCATGCGGTCATCAATATCTCAAACTGAAAGGGCTAACGCCAACAGCCATCCATGCGGGAATTGTCTGATATATTATAATGGCAGCTGAATTTCAGAATGCGAAGAGAGAACCTCGAAGATGACCTTTAGCTGCCACAACGAAAGGAAATGCTGATAAAATACGTGACATGATAATGGATGATCCACGACTCGCCATACGTCACATGGCCAATACCGCTGGCATCTTACATTCTGGGGAGTGAACTGGCCCCAACAAAGGTTTCAGGTTGAAAGGCTTGTGACTCCTGATTAGAAACGTTCCATCATCATCATCATCTTTTGCGAGCATTTATTTCTAGTAGTTTCGGCCGATGCTGTTGAACGATGTGTACACATGGAGTAGTGATGGGTTCACCACTATCCACAAGAGATTAAACAACAGTCAAAACAGTGGGAACATTGAATGGCTGCTAAAGAAGGCAAAGTCTATTTCATCAACTAGCAAGGCGTCATCCCTGATATTCAGTGATCCATTCATATAATTTTCAAAGCTGTTTTGCCTTTA